TATTTGTTCGACATTGGGATGAATATATGACAGGCCCACGTCATCATCCATTTCTTGTTTCAATCGAACGACAAGTCAATGGAATATTCAAATTTTCTTCCGAACCAATTGATATACTTTTCAATGTAGATAGTGATTCGCCGACAAGACCCTTTGGTGATGCTAAATCACAATGGTCATTCAGCGCAACAGGTAATTCGTTCGCATACACTCGACAATATGATGAAACGAGTGCAGTAGCTTGGTCAACCAATTTGGATATTTACACAGTGAATTTGAGTATACCCAGACAAGCGAGTGTGTGTATTACATGCGATAATTTGGCAACCGATACCGATCCATCTTATTCACCAACAGACGATCGTGTATTGGTCTATCGATCACAGTCAAAACCAGGATACGAGTCTGATCAATTCAAAATAAAATGGTACAATGGTCAGTTATATTGTATTTGTGTGGTTCAAAACTTGTGCGGTTCGTTCTTCTTCACCTTTTAGGATCGAATTCGAAAATAACACTTCTTGACAATTGGGATCGAAGCATTCAAGCTGTGACATGGTCCCACGATGGTCAATCTCTTTTTCTTGAACTTGGAGAAGAAGCACGAAATGTCATCTACTATTTCATCAATCTATTCGAAAATCAATCACTCACCCCTCTAGTGAATAGTGGTACATCGCGCGATGTTAATGTTCATCCCTTCGACAGTCGAGTATTCGTTTTCACTCATCAAAGTTTTGTCGAGCCAACCAATATTTATTTATATTCGTCGGACGGATGGATGCGATCCATCACTGATCATAATAAAGCTCTATTGGCCAAAGTAAAAATGAGTCCCGTAGCTGAAACGTTTTCATTTCCAGGTGCTCGAGGTGATAAGGTTTGGGGATGGCATATGCCGCCGTCGGGTGGTACTGACAAGCGCGCTCCACTTGCTTTTCTCATTCATGGTGGCCCACAAAGTAGCTGGTACGATGCATGGGGCTATGGATGGAATTTTCAAACATATGCTTCTCAAGGCTACGCTGTGATTGCTATCAACTTTCATGGTTCTGACTCATATGGACAGAATTTTACAGACAGTATTATAAGTAACTACGGTTCATTACCTTTCGAAGATCTTCAATTGGGGCTTACTTATGCTCTCAATAAGTTTTCCTATATTGACCCGAGTCGAGCTGTCGCATTGGGCGCTAGCTACGGCGGATATATGATCTATTGGATTGCTGGACATCCAGAAATGAGCCTTCGTTTCAAAACACTCATTTCTCATAATGGTGTATTTGATACGAGATTTAAAGGTTATTCAACAGACGAGCTATGGTTTTCTGAGCACGATGTAGGTGGTTACACTCCATGGGATAATCCCAATGCTTACGAACGCTATAGTCCAGTTAATCATGTTGCAAATTGGACTCAACCAATGTTAATTATTCTCGGTGCTCATGATTATCGTGTGCCAGATACTCAAGGAATAAGTGCCTTTACTGCTTTACAACGTCGTGGCATCGAAAGTCGATTACTCTATTTCCCTAACGAAAACCATTGGATACTGAACACTCTCAATTCACTTGAATGGTACGAACAAGTGCTAGGTTGGATGCACAAATGGACAAATTAGATGAATACTGTAGCGTTTTAAGCAATCGTATAATCAGTTTAATGTTAGAAACTTCTTTTCTTTCGAAACTATGCTTGTCCCCTTATCAATCAACAATTCTCTATGATGATGTTACTCTGATTTTTTAGCATCGAAGACCAGTAGTCAGTTTTTTTAGACATGTTTTCTCATTAATTACCCTAACTGAAATGATTCAATTGTCAAAGTCACTGTGGAAAATCGTCCGGCTTTCGTACTTCGTTGCAATAATAATTAATCTAAGCTGAGAAGAAAACCTCTTCTCTAACGGCAGCGTTTAGCTTTACCATCATTCTGATTTTACGGCAGGATCGATAATTATGAATGTATCTCTCGTTGTAACAATTTCATCGTACGTATTTTTTTAATAAAATGTGATTTTGACTGATATGTCGATTTGAAGGCGATGAGAACTTCATTTAATTCATCAGCAAGTTACTGTGAAAAAACCGTTTTTAACATTATTATTCTGATGAATTATTAGACACCACCACTATCTCAACAGGATGTTGACTGATAGGATTGATATTATCAGTGAGGTAATAATCCACAAGATAGTAGTGTTCTTTCATATGCATTTGATCTTGGGTGTCCTAGTGTTAGAATGATTGTCAATGATGAAACAACAAAATGGTTTTAATATTTTTGAAATCTATATTTTATGAGATGCTAAAAAATTAGGAATCACATAGATACTGATGCATTAGCAGATCTGAGATGAAGAAGATGAAACTAGAATTTGTTCGACCTCTTCAAACCGTGAAAAACTTGCATCTAATGATTATAACTCATATACGTAACTCTATAATTGGGCACACTCGATAACTTTCACATTGTGAATTTGCAAAATAACTGCGTGGAAATTATTTACATGGACAAATTCAGAAATCGAAACAAGTTGCACAAGATTCGTTGCCGGGTTTTTCTGTCACTGAAGACAAATCAGCAAGTGACCTTCTAACTTTGCTTTTAGAACGTTACAGAGCTAATGAATTAACCACAAGTATTACAATTCAAAACAATAAATGACATGTATCTAGGTCGTTTGCTGCTGTTGCTAGACTACCTCTGACTCTTCTTACATCCTCAAACTAGAGTCTTGCATTTTGATCACGAAGCTCATTGTATCTATTGTGAATAGTGTTAAAGAATAGCACGCTTTTTGATGGTAACATGGCCAGTCTCTTGAGATAAATGGCATAAAATAATACTTTTACATGTTCTGAATGCAATTAGAGAACTTTAACTTTTCTTAGTCATTTTTCTTATCATCATCAACAAGGATATAGAAAGCTATAGAATTATTGTGCTTTGTGACTTCATTTATTTTGAAATTATCTCTTCATGATCTATAGCACAGGCAGACTTGTTGAGAGCTTGTGTAATGTCTTATTTTTTTCCTTATTCTTTTGTTTCCATTTCCGTGTTTTCATCATCTCATTCAGAAAAGTTTTAGCTTATGAAACACTTTATTTCATGTTAGCGCCTCCCTCGGGAAACTATCAAATCAATGAAGCCATTAATATATTTCTTCTTGCATTGGCTCATCTCCTTCTTGCTCTGGATCGATAACACTAGACTAGAAGAAAAATGTCTATGAAGCTCCCCAACGTTCGATTAGATCTGGAGATTTTAGTAAAAGTTTAAAGATTAATGTCACTTGAAAATCTTCAAGTTACGTTTTGAAAATTTTTATTGGGGAAAGTGATAAAATGTCGAATGGAAAATGTCGAAAGTGAAAATATCGACAAAAAAAAATGTCGAAAAGCAAAATGTCGAAAATTATCAGCCTTTATAAATCCTTATAAATTCTTGGTGAAAAACTTTTTCCAAGGTTTTATCAATGGAATGTAATATGGTACACATGCACACAGCATAACAGTGAGGGTGCGGGTGAAAGCTGTGCCCTAAAAGGATTTCGGTTTTCGACATTTTGCTTTTCGATATTTAGCCTTCCGACGCTTTCACTTTCGACCTTTAGCCACTAAACCCGGTAAGTTTGCTGTCTTTCTAGTGAAACAAAGGAGACAACTGATGGATACTCGATCTGAAATTAATCGGATTTTTTTCAGGCCCTCTGCCTAATGATATTTTACAGAACATCGATCCGATAGTTTTGATAATTTTCATTCCTATCTTTGACAAATTCACTTATCCAACTTTGCGACGATTTAATATCAAGTTTTCCTGGATCCTCCGTATTACCTGTGGTTTCTTTTGTGTTTTTTAACCATGGGCTGGGTAGCACTCGTTCAACATCTGATCTATAAGACTGGTCCGAACTATGATTAAACCCAGCCGTGTACAGGCTGTCAAAAATTCAACAATATCACGGTTGCTTGGCAAATTCCATCATATTTTTTTCTCGTCATCTCGGAAATTTTTGTATCCATAACCGGTCTTGAGTACGCATATACACAGGCTCCAGCATCAATGAAATCTATCGTCATATCACTTTTTTTTACTTCACATCGGCACACGGTAATGTTCTGAATTTTGCACTCATACCATTTACAGTCAATTCGAAACTGCTCTGAATGTATACATCATTAACGGTTGTGGCATTCGTCGCCGGCATTCTGTTTTTCCTTGTCTTTCGAAATGAAGATAAGGGAGAAAAAGTACAAGCAGCAAACAAATAGATTAGATGGATTCTTGTCTTTAACTTGATGTCGTTCTATAATACTGATCAGTATCAATAAATATCCGTTCTAATTGTAAAAATAGTCTTGAATACGAGGATGTGTATATAAACGTATGAGAGGAAATAACAAATCCAACATCAACATTATACTTATATTTAGTTATTGTTTTTTTTTTCGAGAAATTTTGACCATTGGAACTTCGTTTTCATTCAATTAAATAAAGTGAATGGTATTATTACGAAAGAGCAGAGAAATGCTCAGATTAAATGCGTATAGTCTTTTGAACACACATTTCTACGATTTGTCTAGTTTAGATATTACTTTGTCCAAATAAAATAAAACTACTCACTAAGAACTATGGCAACATAAATAGTCGGCGTTACACTATTCTGTCAATGACTTGTTTCAATAAAATACCATTCAAACTGATATTGATTCTATAAAATGTTTAATATTGACTTCAACCGAAGCTATGATCATCTTTGATCCACAACTAATCAATTATTTTCAAAATCTTTCAAATTTATTTTTTTTTCTGGTTAACACCAAGAAACTAAATCAAACAAGAAAAAAAACCACCATGTTGAATATAGAAAAAAAGTAACAAAAGTTAGTAGAAAAACACACGCATACACATCTTTCTGACTAGAGTGTTTTTTTATATCACTCACTACACAAAATGAATAAACTAAATATCTATTATTTTAACAAACATATTATTGTTGTTGACGAAAATGTTTATTAATCGAATAACCACTAGTTGGTTGAATTCGATGACTTTCTTGTTGTTGTAATTGTGCTAATTGTTCACTAGGTGATAAATGTGTATATTCAACAGGTTGTTTAAAACCAGCTGATATAAATTGCATTGGTTGTCTACTTGTTGTTGATGATAATGGTTGTGATGGTGGTGGTGGTGGTGGAATAGTTACACCACTTGATTTTTTAATTGTTGATGTCTTAGGCATCATTGATGATGTTTGACTATATTCAGAACCACTTCCATAATTAACAAGACCAGGTAATACTGGTTGAAGATTACGAACAGGTGGTTCATTATTTGACATAGGTAAAATAACTTTTTGTGACACATTTGTTTGTTGAGAATAATGAACATTTGTTAATGTTGAAGGTATATTACGATTTAACGATGTTGATTGATTTGGTTTTGTTGTTTCAGATGATTTATGTGAATGATGAAGTGTATTCCAAAATGAATCAAATGAAATAAGTTGACCATCAACAAATTCAACTAGTTGAATAAAATTTGGTTCTAAAAATAAAGCACAAAAGCAAAAAAAAGAATAAATAAACTCTTTTTATTACAAAATGACTTTGTAATACCATGAGTTTTTCTTGCATATAAAATTTTATCACGTATTTTCTTTTTAAATAAATCTTTATCTTGTATTGTCCATGGATAATTTACATCAAAACCATCTAAACGACATAAATATGCTTGTAATGGTAAATCAAGAAAACGTGTATGTAATGGTCGCATTGTATTTGTGCCTAATTCACGTATTTCACCTTGATCAACAAATTGAACCTTAAATAAAAATTATAATAAAAAAGAAACATATATATGATTTTTTTAATATTATAAACCCATGCAAAATTTGTTGTTGGTTTAAATTCTAATACACGTGCACGATACCAATGTGATTGATAACGAACAGCAACCATTTGACCACGACAGTAGGAAGCAGCTGTTGATATACCTCGACGTTGTTCAGTTGAATATAAATCACTCAAATAAAATAAAATTTTATTATTAATAGAAATATTTTAAATAAAATAATATATATTTACGCCATATTTCGATGAAGATCATTAAGCATTTGATTTGGTTCGATTTCTTCTGGATAAAGAGCAGCTAGAATATTGAAAAATAAAGAGATTAATTTGAGTTTTCTTAACAAAACAATAATATTATGTAACTCGATATTTCTTTTTTTTTAAAGTTGCATCTTTGTTTTTTTTTACTAATATAAAATAGATTTGATTCTATCAAAATATATGAATACCTATGAAATAGAGATAAAAAGTTCAGATACATGGTATCGTTGAATTTTTATATGAACGATAATAGTTATGAAAAAAAAAACGAGTAAAGAAATTTCAATAACTAAAACAATTTTCTATAGGAAGAGCTACTTTTGAAATTTCGATTTAATATTATGATCAAAAGGATTTCTTGAAAACTATGACTTTCAAAACTAACTTTTTGGGCTTGACCGAAAGTGTTTTTCAAATAAGTTCATTTGATTGAACAAATATTTCTAAACAACATACTTGCTCATCTTCATTCAACTATATTCATTCTACGAAAGGTTCCAGAGCGTAAAACAGTAATAGGTTACAACTAGCTTTTAATTATTGAATAGAATATATGTAGACTTATAGAGCAAGATTTCATTAAACAGTAGAATTTGATAATGAACATGTTACTAGATAAAAGAATTCTTTTTCTAGAAGTCTACAGTTATTTCTTCTTATAGTTAAAAATTATTGAAAACTGTAAAGGCGTCTTGATTGAAATTTTCATAAAAGGAACAAAAGAAAAAAAACACCTTTAAGACCTCTTGTCGAATGAATGCCTGATCGAATCTAAAAAACTGGTTTAAAAGTCTTGGTTTTCTAGTGACTATTTTCCGAAAAACTTTTTATTTGAATTTAATATAAGTAACTCTTCTCATAGAACATTATTACAGCTACTCAAATCTGTTTTTTTTGTTCTCGATTTGTCGTGGCTATTACTATTCGGAAAACAATTCAAAGATACATTGTATGTGAACTGTTTTGCTTTCACTTTTGTATTTCATAAAACGTATCAATTCATTCATTGTATGTACAAAAAATGATTATTTCCTAGTAGAGAATTTCTTCATAAAAACAACATGAAAGATATTAAATATTTTAGTCTCCCTAATGTTTGATAAGTGAATGCTAAGATACATACGTTCATTGCCTTGACCAAGTGAAGTATCAGTACCAAATGGATATCGAATATAAAATTCGCCAGCTGATTTCACATGTGTTACTTCAACAGCATACCAATGTCGTGGTTCCGGTTCAACAACAGGTGGACAATATGGTAAATTTTCTATATCGAACAAAGAAAAACAATAGTTTGAAATTAAATCAATTTCTTTCACTTGTTCAAAAAAAAATCAATTTTGATTCAGATGAATTCAAGTCAAATAATAATTTCAGCTATTTTTCGACAAGTCCTTTTTTTTTGTATTGAAGTCTAACTTAAAATTTAGACTCTATCAGATTCTACAACTAATGATTTTCTTTCAAAACCACAAACAAACGATTAATTAACTTCGGTAAATCTCATTCGAGAAATTGTGGATTTCATGGTCATAAAAAATTTGAACTGAGACAAAGAAAAAAAACGAAAACATTAAATTTTAATTATTTGAAATATAAAATTTTTTCATAGAAATTCATTTCTCTTGCAGCATAAGACATATAAAAGTTTATTATCACAAACATTGAAATAACAATCTAAGCTTTATCACAAAGAATTAAAATCACTCTATTAATCTATATCCATTACAGACGAATCAAAATTTTTGAATTCAGTTCTAATGTATTAAACATCATCTTTTCGCATTAGATTTGTGCTCAGAACATTGTTGGATATCAAACGCAATCCTAGTAAAAAATAGACTTCTTCCCCCAGGGAATTTAGCAAAAATATATATTGAAAAGTTTGTTCCGTGCCATTTTGCTATTTCACAAATTACTACTACTTTTTGTTTCTATCATTACCGAAGTCTGTGACATACAGTCAAAATCTTAGTAATTCGCATACTCACAAATCGTGAACTCATGTCGTACCACTGCTTCTATGGCTTTAAAACTTTCGAAAGAGACTCGTAGTCGTATGAGAACTCTCTAGTGAAATATTCAAATGAATTTGTCACTAAATCACTAATTTATTTATTTTTTTCGAATGGAAGAGATTTAAAAAGAGAATCGAAATTATTTTCTAACCTTCATTTTCTGGTAAAGGCAATGGTTCAATATTTGTTGTATTAATAATAGGATTATTATTTATTGGTTGTTTTTGTGGTTGTTCATATCGAACATCAACTGGATTTCTTTCAATAAAAACTGATGATGTTGTTTGTATTTTATCAGTTTGTTGTTGAGTATAATTTCTTTGAGATTCAATATATTGTCTTATACGTTGAGTTTTATAACCATTTAAATCATTCATTGCATCATTAGCAATACGTATATATTCTATATAATTTGAATCAGGTATTGCAAGTTTTTTTTCAACTAATTGTTCATTTATTGAATTAATTGATGTATTTATATCATATAATATAATAGGTAATGGTGAATCACCAAGTCTTTAAAATAAGAAAAAAAGTTTTTTTTTTTATTGATACTATTATTTTTTTGTGTTTTTTTACTTTATTGTTTGTATTGATGTATTTAATGAATAAAATCGAAATGTTTTATAACCTTTTCCACCAATAAAACGATTCATTAAATTAATAGCTTCACGTGACCAATCTTCATTTATTGAATTTATTAAACCTAATGAACATTTAATAGCTTGTGGTGGATATATTTGATATTCAGGTATAAGTTCATATATTGATGATTCTTGTATTGTTATATATTCACCAAAATCAAAACAAAGTACAAGAAGTGTTTTACGTTCACGATCATGATTTATAATTTGTACACGATAAAAACGTTGATCACGATTATTTCTTGCAACACCTAATGTATTTAATGAAAAATTTTTTAAACGTGTCATACGATCACATGATATACGTTCAAGATATGTTTCATTAACACTATTATATATTTGTTCGAAATTATTTTTTTCTGTTAATTGAATAAAAAAATGTGATGGTGATGTTATTGATGTTATTGTACATGTACTAATATTATCATTTAAATTTAAATTAATTGATGGAAGATTACTTGAACGTGAAATTCTACCAGATTGATTCGATGAAATTTTACTCTAGAATATTAGAATAAAAAAATCTTATAGATATAGAATCTGAAGATAGAAATAAGTACATTGTATATCTAGTCGATACTTTGACTAAAAATTAAAATTGTATTTTTTTCAAGATTTACATATAGATTACTCAAAAATTCGTCTGAAAAATTATATCTGACAAAATAAAAATGTTCGATAGACAAAATCAAATAAGTGGATTTTTCAGTTTTTTTTCTAGCTATGAAAACAAAAAATCACTCAATCAACAAAAATGGGTCTACGAAAGATGCGCCCAATAGGTTTTTGTGTTGGTTCGACGATCTTAAGTATATAAATAACCATCTAATATCATTAAGGGACGACTTTTTGTAGTAGCGGCGAATTCGACAGGAGTACACATGTTTGCGGATAACTGATAATGAACCATTTCGAATGTGAATGATCATTTTTTATATACATCACATGTTTATTCTTAAAATCAGCTCACCTTAATGTGGTTAAACAAATAAGAAGACTATGTCTATTAATTTACAGTTTATGATATGGTGGATACTATGATTACTTATTTGTAAGTACGAATTTTTTATTTCGTGTGCATCTTTCGGGATCCCAACAAAAATAATATATTCAGAATCAGTGAATGATACGTATAAAATACAAAAGCAATTTTGAAGAAAAAATTCTTTTGTGTTATATCCAATCATTTCTAAGCAAAGGAGTTGATTTCCGAGCAAGAGAAAATCACATGATCTTCTGCCATGCGATAAGTGAATACTATAGCAAAGGGTCCAAATTTGTACTTCTATACTTCAATATTCATTTTAGATTGTGTTTTATAAAAGACAAGTAACAATGGATCTTTATTGATAGTTAACAAAGCTTATAAGTGAAGAATTTCATTCGATCGAATCGTTAGTACTGTTTTTAGATGATAGATTTTTTTTTTCTTTAGTTTTATTTATTTTGAAACAAAATAGAAAGTAATTTAAAGTTTTCATCGCTATTATTTTTCGAATTCTATAATACTTATTTTACTCTATGGTTTTCAAACTGTTCGATTATATTTAAATACTATATCAATACAATAAAGTAATTACCTGCATGCCACTATCTTGTTTCGTAACATTGGACAAATGTAAAATATTGTCTGATTGTCTTTGTGGAAGAATGAGATGTGTTGCTTGTTGTAGAACTATCAAAAAAAAAGGTAAAGATATGTCTACGTGCTTTGATATTCCTTTATATTATTTAACAAACTTTCTTTTGGTAAATTATAAGCAGCATAATCATTAAGATCAAGACGAGGACCAACAATTTGTACTATTTCAGCAAGTGATGCTCGTCGACCATGACGTAATGATATTAATGTTTCAGCAACATCCTCAATAAATTAATAATAATAAGAATATCTTTCTATACTTTATTTTACCGTATGTTCATCAATTGTAAGTTGCACAAAATACATTGGCCTAAAAGGAAAAACATTGAGAAAAATATTTCTATAATCAACTATGTGTTTTTTGAATATTTTTACCATTGTAATGTTGGTTGGGCAATAATACGTATATCAAGTGGTTTAGTTAAAGTATCTTCATGAAATTTAAAACTAGCTTTTTTTGTCCATGAACTATTATTATCACCATTGATTGGCAATAACTAAAAGTTAAAAATAAATTTATGAACTAAAATTTAGTTTTATTTTATATATAAAAATTTTGAATGAAAAAAACCTCAAGTGCTGCACAAATAGCTTGAGCAGGTAAACGAGCAAAAGCTGGATCAAGTGGACGTAATTCATTAATATTACGTTCTTCATTATTACCGTAATCAAGATAAACAAGTTCAACAGTTGTTTCTAATTATGAGAAAAGACAAAAAAAATAAATAAAAATGAAATTTAGAATAATAAAATTATTATTTTGTATAGAGTTGTGAAAAAAATACTAGATAGTAATTTTAATATAGAATAAAGTATTCTATTGAATTCATTCTATACTAAGATTTCATAGATGAAATATGATAGGAAATTTTTCGGGTGCCTGCAACTAATAATATTTTACAGAGCAGATAGCGAAGGACTCGGAAGCTTATTAAATGATTAAATCAATATGTGCAGCAGACAAATGTGGTTGTTGAACTAATGAAACGTAAAATAAAATAAAATTTGTTACTTATTATAGCACGTATCGTAAGTATTATCATAAAGAGAAAATAAGTTATGTACGACAGATATATCTGGTAATACAAAGAAGTTTTTTTAACACATTAAAAATAAAATGATGAATAGAAATTTTAAATACAAACATTCTAAAAATGTATTATAAATTTTTTTTTTGTCGACACAGTTTTGAAATCGCACAATTGGATTTCTCATAGAATTTCACTGACAAGTATTTTTAATAGTGCTTTTAACTTTTTAAGAGACAATCGTAGAAAATACAGTGATCCCTCGTGTTATATCTTTTAATATATTAAAGTTTTTCTGTAGAAATCTTAATATAGAATGCATTAGATAGAAAATTTCATTGTCTATTAAAATCATTATCTTAATTTGAGCTTATTATTTAATATTATGAACAAAAAAAAATCAAAACTATGTTGTTGTTAAATTAGTTTTTCTATCAATTTACCAGAACTATATCGTTTTATTCGAGCACGATACCATCGATTATCAACTGAATAACGAGCTGCACAACAACTCATTTCCATTGGTTTAAAAGGTATTGATGGTGGATCAGTTGTTGAATAATAATCACTAACAAAATATTAAAAATTTTATTATATTATATTAAAAAATAAAAAATTTACGACGATATACTTCATGCTTTGAGCAAGTTTTTCAAGATCATGCGTATATAAAGTATTTTGAACAAAGAAATATGATGGATTAACAGCTATTGAAACAAGTGCTTGAAAATCTTCACCAACATTTAATAATAATGTTTCAATATCAACTGTTGATACAGCTAAAATTTAGTTTGAAAATAACAAAAATATTTAATATAGAAAATACAAATATGTATACTTAGAAATTTCAATGTTCTTACATACACAGTTGAATATTTATTTAATATTAACTGAGAAAAAGATCAAAGAAAAACAAAAAACTGTAGAACAAAATATATGATTTAAAGAAGTTCAAAAATAATCTATTAATAACTATTATTAAAAAATTATCAATGCTTTTCAAAAGATTTCATTATTAGTTAATCCGAAAGAGTAATTGCAAGAGAACATCTTTTTCTTTCAAACCCATATTTATACTATTTTGCCGAAATATCAAGTTTTAAAAAAAAAATAAATCATCTGCCATTGGATAGAATACAAAAATCATTATCTTCGACGGAAAGTTTCAAACTATTCGTTGAATTATTAGTCATATCTATAGGTAAAATTTTATATCGAAATTCTGGTTTTTGAATTTTTCAGTATATACTTAAGTCGCGTTTTTACTTTCAGAAAGTTGAAATCTTTCAAAATGTTAAAAATTAATTTTCACATTCAAAGATCAATAAGTTTTTTTTTAAAAACTTAGATTTTTTGTTTTCTAACATCTTGTTTTTGCATAGAGAGTCATCTCATCTGCCCCATGCTTAAAAATTTGAACTGAATCGCTTGTGAAATTGATGAATTACAGCGGGAAAAGGTACTGAAGATCATCTATTGGTCTTTGATCTCTTTGAACAAAACTTCTTAAACTTATCTTACACATTTTTTAAGTTAACATAGATTGACGTCTTCTGTATTAGATAAGATTTGAAAAACAAAAGCGAAAAACCAAGAAAGTATTGAATCTTCGATATTTATTAGATAAAACTATGCAGTTGATCTTCACTAACTTAATACTATTTCATCGACTATATTTTTCATTTGATAAATAGATGATATATATATATATGAAAGTAGTGGCGTAGCCTGGAATTTTTGAGTCATGGGCAATTCATTAGCCGAACTATTTTGAGTTACGGGCAACCGTTATGATTTCAAAAATATCTATGGGCAATTGCCCAATGGCCCTACCCCTGGCTACGTCACTGATTATGAAAGCTTTTAAAACTTATTATTCATTTCATTTTATAACTTTTCTTTTCGACTTACATTGACTAATGGGTGTACTATTATTATGTTCAGTTAATTCTTCATCATCTTCATCATCATCTTGATAAACATTTGATACTAATGGAACTTGTTGTACAACAGGAATAGAAATAATATTTTCTTGTTGTGGTTTATTTTTAAATCGAATATCTTCAGCTGGATAACGTATTGGTCGTTCAATATTTCCATTTTGAGTTTTTAATGATGAATTTTTTTCTCGTATCATATTATTATTATTATTATTATTTTGTGATCGATTTAAATTTTGTATAACTGATTGTGTCATAGATATATTTGTTTGATTTGTTAAAAGTTTTTCTTGTTGATATTTATTATATTTATCAAGAGCTGATTTAAAATCTTGACGAATACCATTAGCCGTTGTTTGAAGATCTGAACATTTAAAAAAAATTAAAAATTTGTTTTTTTTTTGAAAAAAATGTTTTTTGCAAATCTTACTTGCAATAGCACTAAATAAATTATCAATATCATGTTCAATTTTTTTGAAAACTTCAGACATATTATTATTATTAGTTGTATTTAATTCATGTTCATTTGTATTATCATAATTAATACCAGCACGAATTATTTGTAAACGCATATGAGTTTTTTCTTTAAATGGAAGACAATACCATGATTTAAGACCATCATCATTTAAATCAAAAAATTCTCCTATAATCGGATCAAATAATTGAATAATATGTGTACGTAAATCAAATGTTCTTGGCATTTGTTCATGTAAACATTTATATATTATATCTAATGATGGATTATCGGGTAAATTTATTTGAATTTGTTGTCCATCATACATAACTGTTGTATGTACCATGATTATTGATCTGAATATAAAAATAAAAAAAAAAAAGTTAAATAAAATAATAATTCTATTGAAAGAAATTCTTTATACAACAAATAATCATCATACGATTAGTTTTTTTTTTCTTCCTCTATGATAAACGATTGAATGAAAAGTTTAATCATATCATAATTTCAATGTCATCAACGAAAATATATATGATAGTTTTGAATAGAAGATGGCAGTAGTTCATGGATAAAAACGAAAAATAGAAAATTTAATATTTTTAGTTAATTAATCGATTTCAATAATTTATTCAAGAAAAATATACATTTCTTTTTTTTATTAAAAATATATATATATGTAGATTTTTCTTTTTATTAAACATCATTAGAAATTAATAATTAAGTCTTTCTATATTAAAACTTTGGATACAAAATTTTTGTTAAATATAGCCATTCCTTAGTCTTATACATTATTAATAATATAAGAATCGATCTGCACATATGGTTTGAAACATTTCTCATATCTTTATTAACAATATAAATATTCAAAAAAAGAAAAATGAATAGATTTACTTGACATTAATTAATGCATAATTATTTGAGAGTGATTGATGTTCACAAAAATTGAAAATTTGAATTTTAGGAAATAAGAAAAAAAAAACGATGAGATTCAAGAGAGGAGATGAAATTTTCAACAATTTTTTTTGAACTTAAAAGTTTATATATTTTATATTCGAATACAGAGTAAGTCGATTTTATGTTTTTTTTTTTGTGAATACGTGATTAAATCAGATGAAAGCATACATTTCGGTATTTAGCGTCGAAGTTTTCTTGATTTGCAGAATTTGTCTACATCTTTTCAAGAATCGAATATCAGCGAAGTTCTCTTTGTGAGAAACTTTTCAATTCAGTTTATCTTTTTCGGATATTCTAAGATTGATTTAATAGAAGAATTTTTTTTATTATTCATAGTTCGTGTAAAATTCTACACTTGAACTTTGTCTCTTTCATACTAATCAAACAAAATAAATAAATAAACAATATGAAATGTGTTTTTTTTTTGTTCCGTTTTTATTGAAAACTATTTATATAATAAACAAGACAAACAAAAAAAAAAGAAGGACAGTAAAATTCTATTGCTGTTTTTCATGATGTAATAAACTTGAAATAAACATTTCAAATTTTTGTAATGTTGATACTCCACAATAATCATCTAAGTTAATCGGATCATATTTAATTCCTTTTGATCCTCCTATTCGTTCATTTGAATCATCATCCATAAGTGTATCATCATTACGTTCACGACGTTTTCGTACAGCTACTTGTAATTGTAAATCATCACCAATGCGTATGCCAATTGATCTAGAAAAAAATACATTTTATGGAAAGAAGAAAACCAGCCCAGCTATAATGGCCTATGCCGAACTAGGATATCATACATTTAGCTTTTTAAAGTAATATGCAACGCATCGAATGGTATATAAGAAATCAAATTTTATGAAAATTTTCATGTACTAAGGATTGATACATAGGTTATAATGTTTCGGGGAGGAAACTCAGGACAGGAATATGAAAAAATTCATTTTTTGAGGTTAATATAAAATGTTTATAGAATCTTGTAGAGTTTGATACAAAGATCAAATCTAAATATATGAAATATTTGATCGGTGAATATTGTTGAAGTAGACGGGTGGTGTATATGACACATATAGAAATTGATAGTATGCAATCTTTGGAAAAGTTTCACATTGCTACTTATTTGTTTTGTAGTACAGAGTTGAATATATTGAAATATCATATAATCAAGGTGAAAAGCATCTATAACTATATCTAATTGGTTTTAAGAAAAATTTTTGTGTCAAAAACTTAATTTCTTATATATCATTCAATGTGGTACAATTCATTTTACAAAATCATATATAATGGCATCCTAGTTCAAGACACTTCACCGAATCCGGTAAAGTCATTTCTTTTTAAATTTTACGTTGGTATTTGTGAATGATCAAGTTGAGCACTAAATTGAATTTCACTAAGTCGACCAACAGTTGGTGCCATTGTACTACCAACAACTAACCAACCAAAGATTTTTGCTAATGTACATGCAATTGTAAACTTAAAACAAGCGATCTAAAAAAAAACAAAAAACATTTTTATTTAAGAAAATAAAATAGATAATTTAATACTTACTTGATTAATAAAAAATCTTTGAACTTCTTCAACATGATGTTGAAATTCGACTAAATGAGATTTATATTGAATTTTAATTTGACATTCTTCTATTTGAAACATATAAGACCAACTAAACAAAAAAAATGAAATTCCTGCAAATCTTTTTTTTTTTTCTTTATTTGAAAAAATAATACCGGCATAAAACATCATAACCAGGTGCTATAAGATGAACACGTCCATATGTTGATGTTGTTGAACTAAATGCGCTGATATTTACAGTCATATTTATATCGCAATTTGTTGCTAAATTATTTAATAAATTTAAAATTCTAAATAGAAAAATAAATAATGATTTAAGAGCGGAATTATAAGATAGTTGATACAAAAAAAAAAAATATTTTTCCTATCCATTCAATGTAGCTATGTCAGAAGCTACAAAGATTGACACATGCAAATTCGAATTGTACGCTCAAAAACTGAATTCCAAGTGATTTCTGTCAATCTACAAATTCTGGATAGTATGTCTCAAAACTTGTACTTTCAGACCTCGATCTACTGAATACACAAAGAAAAACAAAAGCATTTTTTTTCTTATCGAATGCTTTGAATAATCGATAGTCTCATAATTTCTCTTTGAATGAATTCTTTTTTTTTTACCGAGATCGAATAACTTGATGTTGAGCAAGTTCAATAATTGTTTGTAAAATTGATTTATTTTCACTAATAGATTTTAATTGATTATAATTAAAAGCATTTACACCAGCAATACGTCTTAATGCAGGTACGCCTAAGATAAATAAAATTTTATTAGAAAAAATTTCAAATTATCTATTTCTACCTAACATAAGTGTACTAGGCTTTAATTGAGAATAATGAAAATTACGAAGAAATTGTTGACGTAATAAAGCACATAAGGAATATTCTAATAAACCAATATGTGCACCCTAAAATAGTTAAAGAATTTAAAAAATAAAATTATTTAAGAAGAAAAAAGATTTCTATTTTCTTACACAAAGAGTTGATTCTGTTTGAATGTTTGGATCAAATTCACTTGTACGTAAAAGACTTATTGTCATTATTACATCGGAAAGAATCTAAAATATTTATTTTATTTTAATAAAAATAAAGAATTAGAGATTATTATGATCGCATTGATTCGATTTCTAATTCAAATAATCAAAGTGTTCGGTTTAATATTTAATTTATTTCAGTACGACATGTATTTATATTATTTACAAAAAAAAAAAAGCTTAGAAATAATATCCATCATGATCTCGAATCTCCTATTATGTTTAAGCATACAAAGTTTTTCTTTCAGAAAACGTAACTGAATTTGGAAAAAGATTTTAATAATGCAGAAAGAAATTTAACCTAACTATTTTAAGATACTTAGCTAAAAACGAAAATCTGAAAACACATTTTCTGTTTCAAAACTAGCTTTGTCATTATTCACTCCTTCGGTTTTGCTATATCATAGGATATAAGCTGCTTCTATCTACTCAATATCGTCATGAAAGACAAAAACAAACTTAGACTTTTCATAACGTTTGATCATTCTTTTATTTACTATATGTTCACTCGAATAATCAAAAGCCGAACAACTGATAGATCAGATCATACTAGCAGCATACTAGATAAACTAATTCTCTCTTTTGTGAAACATAATCAAAAAGGAATATGAAAGTATATAGGGTAGAAATTAATTTATCCTACACCCACCATGAACGTCTACTTTATGAATTTTTAATTGAAATCATTTAAAAAATTAATAACTTTAATTATTGATTTTTAGGTGTTTTTTGTTGAAAAAACTATTATGATAGAAAAGAAAGGATTTCGCAAAAAAACATTAGAAAATCGATTATATTTCCTTAATTATTAATTAATATTTATGAAAATTTCGATAATTTTGGAATATATTAATTAATTAGCACATGGCCTTCTAATAGGGCGTTTGAACTTTTGCTCGGACATGGCATTATACAGGGGGTGGCCGTCTATTTTGGGGGGGGGGGGGGTATGTGAGTAACATCTGATTCAAATATATGAACTACTTCATTAGCACATTTTTAGTAGAATCAGAACAACGATAGTGAAGAAGTGTATCCCAAAAAAGAGAGAATAAAACAATCTTTCCATGATTAGCAATTGCAATTATATCTTTCTTTTCATATATTAATACCACAAAGATTATACTATTATAAAAGTGTTTATTTTTCTATTTCTATTTGTTTAATAAATAATAAAAATCTACAAACCCAACATCGAATTGAATTTCTCATAACTGTTGGTTGAATTATATTCGTAATATCTGATGCTTCTCGACAAAGCTAGAAATAAAAAATTTTAATTTTTGTTAATATTAAAATTCTAAAAGAAAAAAAAATTTTTTTTTTTATTTGTGAAAAAAGTTCTTTTAAAAAAACTGTACGTTGAGCATTTTCTAATATTGAATCATAACTATTATCATTCATATTCATTATTGTATCATTAGCCATCATTGTTGAATATGTTCGAAGTAAAATTTGTCCATCTTCTAAAATAGAAAGTTTTTCTTTTCTTATTATGAAAATTTAAACAAATACACAGACACACTCGTTTCAATATCAATTTTTAATATAACACGAACTTGTAATTCTTCCGGTATAATAACATCAATAGAATTATTATGTGTACGTTTATGACTATCAGCTTTTGTTACTTCAAATTGCATTTTAAATGGATAAAATGAACCAGCTTAAAAAAAAAAAACAAAACAATTAAAATGAATTTTTCTCTTTTTAAGAAGAATTTATTCTAATTATTAACCTGATCGAAATGATAAATCTCCTAAATATTTATTTGTATTTGTTTGTTTTC